ATTGGGATGGGATGGGATGGGAATTGGGATGGGATGGGATGGGATGGGATGGGATGGGATGGGTGCTGAGCTGGGTGCTGAGCTGGTGCTGCCCCCAGGTTCCACCTCTGCAGCTTTGTCATTTTTTCCTTTCTTCCTCAAGATGCTCCTTCATCCTTGGCACACCCACCATGTACATAGATATGCTCTCCCAGCCAGACTTTGACTCCTATGACCTGTCAACTCTCCGGGGAGGTAAGTCCCAGAACTCAAATGGAAAAATCCTGAGAACCAGGATATTCCTTCCTTGCTGAGATGCTATATTTAATTTTGTGAGCAAATGTCTCTTCTGGTGGGAAAAATTTAGTTGCATGAACCTTGTGTTTGATGCTACATTTCCTTTCCTTGGGGAATCCTTCCATCATTATGTATTTTAGGACTCCTTCATCTGAAGGGAGACTAGGGAAGGACCTTTCTATTTTAGCTGCAAGGGGAGGTGTCAGGAATAGTCCGATTTTCCTCAATTCTTGTCTCTCCAACCACCACCATGTGGCAGCAGATGCTTTCTGTGTCTCAGTCTAGTCCCTAAAGCAGAGCCAAGCTCAGATTTCTTTCTCAGACCTGAAGTTTCCTGCCTGTTTCTGAAGTCATCCATCCCAGTGCTGGAGGATGTGATACCATGTGCTGAAGCTTCCTCTCTTGTCACAGCCCACCTTGGAAATAGCTGGGTCCACCAGTCCCTTTGAGGCAATCATAATAGTATGGAGAGAAGGTGGTGCTGGAGCATAAGGAAATATTTTAGCAGCTTACCTAATCATCTCTGCTATGTGCAAAATGGTCCTGTCTCATCCTGCTCTCCACCAAAGCCCATAGATTGCTCTTTTGCTCTCTCATCCTAGGTTGGAACAGGTGGCAGTGGGATCTCTCCCAAAAGGGCTGCTCTGTGCAAGGCAAGAGGAAAGGTTTTTGGTTTTATGGTGATGATCAATGAGTGTTTTTGTCCCACTATAAAACTGTGCCTTTTTCTGCTCTGAACCTTTCAATTTTTGGAGAACTGCAGGTTGGACTAGTTTTGTGTTACAGAGTTTATTTTCCTGTTGAGAAAGGCAAATTGGCCTTGCTGCAGCCTTTGCTTCTAGAACAACTAGGACCTGCATAAAAAGATTTAGAAAATATTTTGACAGGAACCAATGCATCCCACAGGTCTTGTCAGCATAAAATTTGGGAGTGCAGAGCAATGTGAGGGACTGCTTCTGGGAATAAACAGCTGGATTCCAAGGTCCTTTCCTCTTTCTTCCAGGAATTATTGCAGGTTCTCCTGTTCCCCCTGAGATCATGAAGACAATTATGACCAAGATGCACATGCCAGAGCTTGTGGTGAGTTGTGGTTGCTGTGACCAGAGCTTCAAGGGATGTTTGTCATGGTGAGATGCTGCATTTGGGTTTCTCTGGACCACAGTGACAGTGGTACCTGGTGGTCCTGGAGCTGCTGGGATCAGGCTGAGGAGGGAAGGCTCAGAGGAGCTGGAAGACAGAAGTGGGGGTTCTGCCCAGCTGCTGCTGAGGTGTCTGGGGAGGAAGCTTCGAAAGAAGACAAGGCATCACATTCAATGTCATTAAGTGAAATTCTGCTGCTCATTTCAAAACTTTCACTGACATTCAGTTGTACACACTGCCAGGATTATGATGGCAGAGGCAGTGCTGGTTTGTGTTGCTGTGGGTGGGTGCTTGTGCTCCTCTTGCTGTGGAGCTGTCGAGTTTCTTTCCCCATCCTGGATTTCCTGTGAATGTGTTTTTTATTGTGTGGTCTTTATGGTGTCTCAGTGGTGGGAATGGTGCCATCCACATGTGCAGCACCAAATGCTGCATTGCCAGAAGGGAAGTATGTGCTGGGTCTTGTGTCCTGCTGCTCCACCACATGTCCCACCACCCTGGGCCTGTGCAGGAGCCACCAGCATGTGCTGCATGTGGGGACAGACCACCAGCAAGGGGGTTAGTGGCCTATTGGGTGACACATTTCCTAGGCATGTTCTGCCATCTGCATGAAAATGGCTGGGCCAGAAAAAAACTGTTTTGTTTTACCCTAAAGGAAATTAATTTGGTATCATGCTGCTTCCCAAGGCTGAGGAAGCAGCCAGTAGTGATGGGTAAACAAGTGGGTCTGGGAGTCAGATTAAGCTGTTGTTGTTGGCTGCACCAGCAGCAGGGTTTTACAGGGACAGCTCTGCTCTGCCACAGACCAGGGGAATCCAGGGCATCCGTCCTGAAGCTGCCTTGGATGCAGCCAGTTTTTTTTCCCAGATATGATGCTCTTAATGCCAAGCTGGAAACACCAGAGACAGCCTTGGTGCTGCTGCTTGAGCTCTGTCAGGTGACAGCTACCTATTTTTATAGTAAACTTGAGTTTGGCCTCACAAAATATTTTCAAGCATTACTGTGAGAGCCCAGGACTCATTAGGTGTCACATGTTCCTGATTTGTAGCAAGAGAAATAATAAAACCCTCTCAAACAGTTGCTCTGCCCATGGGATAAAGAGGATTAAGTCTATATTTGTGCCACTGGTCTCATGTTACTCCTGATCCCTCCAGCCCTCAGACAGACACACAGACTTGTTGATTTCATCTTTGCAGCAAGAGCTTTATACAGAAGATGTACATAAGAAAATATACAATTTGATTTCTATATAGGAGGCAGAGGAGTTTTCACCCTCTTAAAGGTCATTTACACTGTTACAGAGGAATAAATAGACATATATTTATATAACTCTTTAGGATTATAAACATAGTTGAATTGCAACTGTGGCATTGTTATAGCTGTGACAATAAACCACAGTCATCCTGGTGTCCTGGTGGATACTCTGGGAATGAGTGGGAAGGAGAGGAGGGGTGCCTGAGCCGACTGCACCATGCACACCTTCTCGTCTTGGACAGCTTGGTGACCCTGCAGAGTGGGAGGGAATCGAGTCTTCAGATGGCCCCAGTGCTGGAGGTTCCCAGTACTGCTTCCCTTCAAGGATTTCTGGCCAATTTTGGGAGATTGTTGCCTCAGGGCCACCGGCTCTTGGTTGCTGCTTCACCTGTCCCCTCAGCCCTGGCCTGCAGGGATCCCCTCCATGGGAAGGCTGGGGAGTCTCTTTGCATGGGTTGAGACCAATTTTCTTTATCAAGCAGCTGGGGAAGGCGTGCTCCTGCCTTCCCATTTGCTCCTGCTCCCCTGGAATGGGAGAGACAGCAAGCAGCTGCTTGATCAGGGACATGGGTTGTGTTTCTTCTGGGAGAGATGACTGTGTTTTACCGGCAGGATCTAGCTTAGCTTGTCTTAGTATGGTCATGCATAGTTTAGTTTTAAAAAAGGCCTCTTTTAAAGTACATAGATGTTGGAAAAGATTGAGAAGGTGGATTCCATCTTTGTGATCAGCAGAGAAGCGAGGATTCGGAGGAGGCTGCAGATGTTCAGGTGTATCACAAGTGTTTCCTGATAGGTAGGAGAAGTTCAAGGAAGGACTTGGAAGTCAGTAGTTTTCTGATGGTTGAATTGACCTGTCACCAGGACAGGCCATACTGGAGCCTGCTAGCACTAAAAAAGAGAGAAGGCCACATCTTTAAGGGGATTTTTCCAGCAGAGCAGTAAACTTGTTACATTTGTCTATTTTTAAATCAGTGGGTGAAGCCCATACTTGAAAGTGAAGAGTTTGGAGTCAAGGAGCTGTTACAACTTCCCACAGCAGAGGAAATGGGTTTGTTCTGTCTCTGAGCTACTCTGCCAACTCTCTGTGTATGATCCTGAGGATCTTACCCAAAGTACTGATGGTCAGGGAGCACTTTCTTGGCAAAGGAAGGAAACTCAGAGCAAAATTTTCAAGAGTAGTGGACTATTTTGATGCTCTGGCTCTGAAAATCCAGGGCAGGTGTAGCTTTAGAAACAACCAAGCAGCTTTTCATCTTAAATGTAGCCAGTGACCTGGTCAGTCCTCACCCCTGAAATACAGAACCCTGTATCTGACAGCTGCCTGGCTCTCGAGAGGTGCATGATTAAATCAGAGGTACTGTCATAAAATTCATACTCACTGCACTGGAGTGGGTTTGTGAACCTGCATTTTGGCACTGACACCTGAATGCACTGAGCTTTATCTTCTGCAAGACTGAAATAAATACTTTCCTATTTCATTAGTGCTTGTAAACCTGTTTGAGGGAGCTGGATGGAAAGTGCTACAGAAAAAAACAGGTATTATTGTCATGGTTTTCTTACTCTCACCCTGGAGGAGTGAACTGGGATTGAGTTCAGGCAGGGAAAGAAGATTAAGAAGGGTCAGACATATAATAAACTATGTTTAAGTACTGTGGTTTGAAAAACTGAAGTTTTTCCGTGCTTAGAGCAGAACTTTTTCTGCCCTGTATGGAATGACTGGTATTTTCATCTCTAATCCATAAAACCCTCTGGCTCTATAAGAGAAATAAACACTTCAGAAAGGCACAGAGCAGTTGGCATAATCCCTGAAATTTTGGTCATAAATTTCCCTTCTTCATCTTGTTGTGCATATCCTTAGTGAAGTGGGGATCAAATGGCCATAATATGGCACAATGAGCACCTCTGTTCATAAAATGCAGTGCAGGATCATTGCATTTTCCTTAACAAATGAGCAAAGGTCCCTTCCCTAAGAGCTTACAAAATTGCAGGCTCATTTAAGTCCTCTGGAATCTATACAAACTCCAGGCCTATTTCTGGGACGGGAAGAAGTAAAATGCTTGGGGTGGAGTGATGATGGTTGTGGCTTTTTTGCTCCTCTGCAGTCTGAACTTAATCCCCCTGGTAGTTTCCAGCCTTGGAAGGTGTCTGTGTGATTGGTTTTCACAATTGGTGTTTGTTTTGGTAGCTGACAGCAAAAGCTCCTCGGTGGAGGGGAAGGCAGCCTGGTCTCTGAATCACCTCCTGGCCCAGGACACCTTACCCAAAAGATATTTGCTGTCTTGAACCTCTGTCCTCTGGGATACTCATTTGAAGGCAACAACCATTGTTTTTAAATACCTGACTGTCTTGGAGGGAATTGTAGCTGTGGAAAGGGAAGTGCTGGATCAAGAGCAGCTTTTAATGGAAGATATTTACTTTCCTATGGGCTGGGTAGTCTGGGCCAAGACTTCCCAGCAATGCCCTGCTCTGGATTTCACACCAGACCTGGAGGACCTTTACAGGGCAAAGGGCTGAGCATCTCCAGTTGGTTACAAAAGTAAACCTTGTGTGGTCCCAGCTCAGGGTAAGAGTCGACTAAATCCAGCCTTGTTTTGATAAATGGTGTTTATTCTTTCTGCATAGCAATTACATTTTGACTTGATGTGGGGCTTTGCTGTTAGGACAGGGTGCATGTCACCATAGTGCCTGAAGCACGATTGATCCTGTTACAGTGTAGGGCTTTTGGGTTTTTCCCTAATGTACAATGATTGCTGCAAAAAGATGAAATTTTTCCCATGTTACAGTAGAAGCTCTGAAGGTTTCAAAGTTATCCTGTGTGTATTTTCAGCATCCTTACTTCTCTATTTCATATTTATTTACATGTTTTGCCCTTACTTTCTGCCCCAGGCCTGTCTTTAGCCTGATGTTTGTTTCCCAGAGGTGACTCCATCCCTGGTGCTACAGGGAGGTTCTCTGGGAGCTCATGGAGCCAGAGATGGAGCAGTTTAAGAACGATGCCACAGAAGGTGCTGGGGGTTCTGCTGTGACTAAAAGGGATCCACCTTACGTGTTTAATGGCGGCTCCCCTTCCTGGACCTCTTGGTGGGCAGCTTGCAGGAGCGGAGGGCCGGGGTGTCCCTGATGGGCTGTCCCCGGTACTGGGCTGGCGTGGAGCAGCTGTCCTCAGCACGGGTGCGGTTGCCTTTCAGCCACCTGACACAGGGAGAGAGGAAGAGAGGAGCTTAAAAAAGCGACAAAGCATGGACATCAGAGGGCAGGGTGTGGGGAGCAGCGTGCTGGCACAGCTGGGGCGGCCCAGGGGAGCCCGGGGAGCGTGGCGGGTGACGGTGCCGTACTTGCGCAGAGGTGCCAGCTGGCAGCTGCAGTGCCAGGGGTTTCGGGAGATTGTCAGCGTCTCCATTTTGTCAAAAGGGAAGTTTCGGGGCAGCTGGGTGAGCCGGTTGTTCTCCAGGTGGGCGGTTTTCAGCACAGTCACACCAGCAAACGCGTTGTCTGCAAACTGAAGCACAAAGGTTTCTGTGAGCAGCGGGAGCTGCGGAATGGGGACTCCAAACCTAAAGGCCTCTGTTTCAGACTTTGAGTGTCCTAAGAACAAGGCACTGGGACATGTTGTCTGGAGAAGCTGTGAAAGTGCCATCCCTGGAAAGTATTCAAGGCTTGGAGAGAGCCTTGTTGGACAGGGCTTGGAG